TGTGTGTGTGTCTGCCCCCCCCCCGCTGGGTTGCGGTCACAGATTCTCTCTCTTCCCTCACTACTGTTAACAACGAGCAATAGCCTGATCAAAACCAAATGTGAAACAAATGGAAAAACCTGCCCCATGCTTCCTTCCTTGAGCAAGGCAGAAAAACGGCCATTGCTCTCCCTCAGGCCCCTCCGGGATAACCCGGAGGGCAGGGAGTGCCCAACCACAGCCACGGCTGTTTGAGTCACCTGGACACAGGGCTTGCCTGGAGACGTGAGGGTTGTGCAGGCAACACGGGCCCCAAACATGCCGGGGGGGGTGAAATCGAGCCCGTCTCCTCCCAGGGAAGGCACTGGGCTTTCCCCGGCTGCCAAGGGGACAAGCAGACATTTCAGAGCTTTCCGTTTGCCTACATGGCTTTCAATTTCAGGCGTCCTTTTGCGGAAGGCTCCGTGGCTCCCACACAAGCAGGATGGCCAGCTCTGCTCGGGGACACGGTGCCACCTGGCAGGGGGACGGACAGGTAAGGCATCCAGACCCACGCTGAGCAAGGCCAGGCTGCTGCCAGTGCTCCGAGGCTCTCTGCTAACACATTTCCAAGCTGCAAAGCTTAATTACATTTAACATCTTACCCAAGATTAATACGCAACACTGGATGAAAACATTTAAGAGTTGTAAAATGCATCTAGTTCTTACCTTTGATATGCCTGAGGAGATGTGGGAGGTGTATTGAACACATGCGAATATGGGTGATAGGGTGTCTTTTTCAAAGCCTGAATAAGATTTTGTCTATATTCTGGGTCTATACACCACAAGGACCCCTTTCCAATACTCTGCAAAGAAAAAAGAATTAAAAAAAAAAAATCAAATATTTGATCTAATGGTATAGCCTTATTTATTTAGCAGTACTTGTCAGGAAAAAGGTTTGGGTTTTTTGTCTGACAGAAGTTAACATAGTTTGCTTGCCAGAGATTATTACTCCATTAATAACATATTGCAAATGTATGATTTAAATCACACTTTGGGGGGGGAGAAGGGGGAGGACGGGGGGAAGTAAGAAAGAATGTTTAGTTGCTTTCCCCCTCCTCCTCTCTTTTTCATAGTTAACATAATTTAACAGTATCTGGCAATTTCCCCATCACCCCATATTGGAAAAATAAGAAGCTACAGTTACTGTTAAATAGAAACTTCGAAGAAAAGCAGATTCCTTTTGAAAGCAATTTTTCTTTTGCTGTTATACTAACAAAAAACAGGGCTAAAAAGGAGGGGTTTAAACACCCTAGCAACTGTTTTAAAAATAAAAGAACTTAATCCTTCAGCTACATGACATCAGCACCATTATGCTACAAAGAGGAAATTAATCATCTTTTCTCCCCTAAGGGAAAAAAGTAACCAAAAAACCCAAAACAAAAAAAAAAGCGCTCACATCATAATCAGAGTTTAAACCATTTAAGAGTTTTGTGAAATTTTTAAAACAACAGTTATTGTAATTACCCTTTCTGGACACACAGAACAAGCAACTCAATAAGTCAATCTGTAACATGAAGACTACACTAAAATTCAGTATTTATTCTGCAGTTACGAGCAGTGCAATTTCAGTCCTTGTCTCAGTCCCACCAGAGGTCAGGGTGTAGATATTTTGAATTGTTTTGTCTGGGTTCTCAAACAAACACAAAAACAAGTTTCCCTCAGCTCCATTATGCAAGCATAGAAAATGACAGGTTAGGAGCTGCCTTGGTCTGCTGAAGCATACATAAAAACAAACACCAACCCTAATTACTGACTGAAGTCCACTGGCAGGCTTTCAAGAGAACATTATAAGATTTTTGGTACATATTGATGTCTTCTGTAACAGGCAGAGGAGGCTGCGCTAACTGCCTCTAGCCACTTTCCAACCCAGGGCCATTATCCCTTTTCTCAGCTCCAGCTTCTACCAGCAGAGCAAGGCTCTCTGTTTCATATGTGGAAGAACAACACACACACATACACACAGACACACACACAAATCACACCGAAAGTGGGGTATTATTTTCTAAAGCTACAAGGAGGATCAAAACCAGACACTTGTTTCCTGTGGAAAATGTGTCATCTTTGTGAAGCCCTATCAACTCCTAGGCACTTCTCTGCCTCATGGATGACTTTAGGGCACACCATGAACTTGCAAAGTGCTTACAGACCTCCTTCTGAACTTGCAGACAGAAAATACGCACTACATTCTCCCTCCAAAAACCATAAAAATAAAAAAATATATCTTCCCCAATATCACTAGAGTGATACTACTAGTGTGGTAGTGTCTAGCAAGTTGACAGCACTGCATGAGACTTGGTTTGAAAGAAAAGGAGAGGCCTGGCATAACATGCAGAAGGCATGACTGCTTACTTTCAGGAACAAGCACATCTGCTGGAGGTGATGAAGAAAGAACAATCTTCTGCACACTGCTCTGGTGGAACTAGGAACATAGGGATTAAGGGACATTAGATTAAGGGAGTGGAACACCTCCCTTACGAGGAAAGGCTGAAGGAGCTGGGTCTCTTTAGGTTGGAGAAGAAGAGACTGAGGGGCGACCTTCTCAATGTTTACAAAGATTTTAAGGGCAAGTGTCAGGAGGATGGAGCCAGGCTTTTTTCAGTGATTTCTAGTGATAGGACAAGGGGCAGTGGGTGCCAACTGGAATATAGAAGGTTCCACATAAACATAAGGAGAAACTTTTTCACTGTGAGAGTGACAGAGCACTGGAACAGGCTGCCCAGAGAGGTTGTGGAGTCTCCTTTCCTGAAGACAATCAAAACCCACCTGGACATGTTCCTGTGTGATGTGCTCTAGGTGACCCTGCTATGGCAGGGGGGTTGGACTAGATGATCTTTCGAGGTTCCTTCCAACCCCTAAAATTCTGTGATATGGTCAAGCCTCTTCAGGATGTCAGGGTTCAAGCCCAACTCTCCCCTTGCTTGCCAAGGCTGCCCTACCAGAAGGCTAAAGACTCAAGGTGAAGCAGGGCCTTTGCATCATCCAATGGCCCAAGATTCTCAAGAGGCTAGAGAGAGACTGCAAGGAAGACTTTCATGTTGGTAAAGTACTACAGCAAATCACTGAAAGATCCACTGCTAGTGTCAGTGGTGGAAGCTGTGTGCCACACAACTCAAACCAGTTTGCAAAAAGAAGGTTGCTATGTTTAGCCTTCTTTTAAATATGGGACAATGAGCCAGAGACTTGACAGGATAAGCCTAGTAAGTGACTTTTTAGGCAAAGGACAGAGTAAAAAATAGAATCCAAACCTCTCAAATTCCACTTCCATTCTCCATCCAAGAGTCAGAGCAAGAAGAACATAAAATTTCCTTTTAAGTGAGCAACATGCAAAACTAGGAATGTTTTTCAGGATAAAACCTTTGCTGGATTCCTTACTCCTTACAGCATGGGATAAGCTTAACAAAAAAAAGAAAAAAAAAAGCTACACTTAAATATCATCTACCTTATTTGTACTTGCACAACACATTGTTTCCAAACTTCTCTATTTTTTCATTTACTTCCAAGACAGACTTTTCATCTACCTGGAAGAAATTACTCCGCAAAATCAGGGTTTGTTCAAGTGGAAGGCCTTACTGAGGAGTAACTTCAAAATCTTTCATTATTGTTAAGCTAAATTTGTTTGGCTTGCCCACGTTCTTGCAAAAGCCAAAAATAATCTCACTGAAAAAAATAAACTCTCACACAAAAAGTACTGAGAATAATTATACTCCTTGTTAAAAGAAACACTGGGAAGGCAGATTTGCTATTTTTTCACTGCAACTGAGCTGACAACATTTAGCAGCAAAACCAAATGTAATTTAAGGCAAAGCACTCCAACCATGCAAAGTTCCTTTTCAAGATAGTTACTTTTGTTTTTCCACAATCACACAAGAGAGCAGAAACAAAAAGAAAACTGAAGTGTCATCAGGTTAAGAATCCTTCTTGACTGTGGGAGGTGTGAAGAGCTTTGTTAACTGTCTGTTTACATGTGTCATTAGTCTTCCCATATACAGAGCAATCACAGGAAAGGAAATCATTTGAACTCAGACCCATTGGTTAGTGATTAATTTCCATCTCATAACACTTGGCGTGCTGCTTCACTACCTCCTCCTAGCCAAAAGTCAATAGTGGCTCCAAGCAAAAACCAGCAAGGAAAGAGGAAAAAAAATAATAATAAAATCCCTGCATTACATTTGTCTCCAGGCAACAAGTGACTGAGGAGTGGGTAAGAGCACCCTGATCACTTTGGCACCAGAGTGCTTTGGGACCTCCCAACACTCCACCTCCTCCCAGAGCCAGGCACAGCCCCCCTCTCCTTCAGTCCTGCCTATCACAAGTTACTGCTTCTGCAGCCCCGTTTAAGGTTATTAAAAACAAGGCGAGTGTCACTGTGAGTCCCCTTCACCTTGCCCAATAGGAGACTATAGCTGCAGGTAAGCTGGTTCAGATGTAGTAATGGGGAGAGAAAGCAACATGTAGAAGTTACCCCATAAAAGTTTATGGTGGAGTAATTTTTCTTTTTAAAAAATTGTGATTATCTTTTCTATTAAGAACTTGTTACGCTTTTTTCTGTCTCTTAATATATGTTTAGATTGTGTCACTATATTGTGTACTAAATCCCAACTTTTTAATTAATTTGCTCTTCCTCATACCTGAAATACACAAATCTGATTCTCCTCCAACAATTAAAACCAGTGCATTGCCATGAAAAGGTACATGATGCACTAAGTGTACAATTATTTTTCCTCCCAATGCACTGCATGCTTTTAATATCCTACTTTACACAACCTATTAGGATTAAAAAATGTGTGGTCATCTTTTAATTGAATAGAAAAAAAGTTTGGCATTTAAAAAGAAACTAATTTAAATACTGCTTGTCAGCTCTTTCAGTGGTTACAGTTGAGGATAACAGCATCATCCACTGTTAAACCCCTCATTATAAATATTTTGTTTCGTTTCCATATACCTCACAACTAGTTGCCTGGCCTTGGGTATCACTTATTGGCTGCCAACACTCAATTAAAAAACTTGTGTATTGAGCTCTTGTCCAGACCAATGGCTGGGAAAAAATATATCTCCCATCTATATAAAAATTCTGGCAAATATTTATTTGAGGAATTTTGTTCCCTGGCTATTTTAGCACAGACTTGAATGTGTTAGGAACACAACTTTTTTCCAGGGTTGTTCTTTTAATCGCCATACAAACAGTCTGCCCACACCAAAGCTTTGGGAAGAGAGCAGATACAGGAACTGCAAAACATGCACGCTTAGGGGGACACCAGCAATTTCAAATTGTACCTTCCGAAGCTCCAGTTACACATTTGCTTTCAATCCACATGGGACTGCACTGAAACCAGGGAGGAACAGATCCAGCCACCCACATCTCTTGCAGCATAACCACTAAGAGGGTCCCTAAGGAAGAAGAACCCTAAGAGAACACCCCCCAGAATGGATGTAGTGAATGAAGGGGGTCTGAGCTGCTGCTTCCCTTGCCCTTGGCTGCACTGTTCTCCTCCTTGCCCTCTTGCTTGTGCTCAGCTCTTCTTCTGCAAGCCCATTTCAGTAATTTTCCTCAAAGAAAACTGTTTTGATGGCTGAATTTTATGTCATTTAAACTCATTAAGTTGGCTCACATGAAGGGCCTGATGAGCATCCAGTGCTGCTGCAAAGCAGGAGATAGAGGAGGGAAGCCAAGGAGGAGAAAAGGAGATCTCCCTTTCTATAGCAGGAGCTGTGGTGACACCCCAATGCATCCCTTGGAACAGTACCCTGAGAAAGGAAAACCAGGATTCTCCCTGAATACAATGCAGCTTGGAAGAGGAATGGG